ATTAACATTCAGGCTTGTAGCATATACGTTGGTACTACCCTTTAAGAAGGACAATCACAAAAGGGGAATAATATGGCAAATCTCTCTGCAGCTACTCCACAGGTTTGCTTAACCTTACCAGTAATGCTTTTACTTGATTCACATTTCCAGACAACTTTATTGAAATAAAATGGAAAGAAAAAGAAGAATGAATGCTTACCTGTACATTGTCAATGTTGTCACGATTCCACAGTTGCAGGAAAAAGCGATTTGCAAAACGAAGTACCAACTGCACACACAAAAAAAAAAAAAAAAAAAAAAAAAAAAAAAAAAAAAAAAAAAAGTAGTGGGATAAACAGAGAAATAAGCAAGCCTTGAATAATTTTGGAAAAACACAACTCTTGGACAAATTTAGACACATATATTACCAAGCTTTGCACCAATTCCTTTCCCAAATAATGATCAATACGATAAATCTGTTGTTCATCAAATAACTCTCCAATATGTGCACTCAGTTGCTCAGACGAGTCCAAATCCTTGCCAAATGGCTTCTCAACAACAATTCGAGTACATCCACCAAGATCAGCTAGAAAGGATTACATTAAAGTGTTCATGAAGATTAATACTTCGAGGTTCCATATAAAAAGGATTATAACTCCAGTCTTATCTCATTCGTATTTTGAATAAGATTCCAGCATAACAAAGAAAAAAATTGTGATATAAATTAAAATTCCATTGTGTGACATATACAAACCTGTACTCAGATAATTATAACTACTCATTAAAATGTATGGATCAAGACAATGATTGTCTGGACTCGTTCCACAGCAAATGATATACCCTTTATGCATATGCATGTTACTTGCTTTCTAGGTAAATGATGAATCATATCTTAGCTTGAGTGGTATCTCCTGTCACCTCCAAAGAAGGATGGACAGGGTTCAAGTTCCGATAGGGCACATGTCTTACTCATTTACTAGATAAATCAGTATATAATCATGCATACCCTTTATACATATCACTTTGTTCAGATCTTGCCATATCTATTTCTATCCCAAGAAAAAAACCCATTCTCAAAATAGATACAAATTTACTGATACTTGAACAATATAAGGGATCCAGATTGAACAAACAGCACACACACATACATATAACAGAGAGAGAGAGAGAGAGAGAGATTACCTAGAGATTAGACCCGATAAGAGAGGAAAAGAATGGAATGTACAAGGACAAGGAGAAGAAGATGATGTCCCTAAAGAAAACCCATTTGCAATTGAATCAGATTACAGTCTGAAGAAAACCCATTTGCAGTACCAAATCTGGTCCATATGAAATGCTCTAGGGATAAATTTCAGACCTAATACGACATAATACATGGGGAAATGTAGTGATATCCTTCAAGAACTCCATACACAGCAAATATCATAAATACATGCAGAAATATAGTAGAGCGGCATACCTATTCATTTTCTTTTGAAGCTTGTTGCCCACTAGATACATCTGACACCTACAATATGTTAGTATAATGTGTTAATAATTTCCATATGTATATATACAAATTGATAAAACGTAAAATTCGTTAATTTGTAAGTATTGCACCTCTCTCAAGCTCATACTCCCAGCCACACCCTGTGACTCTAAGAACAAAACACGTGCCGTTAGGTTCTTGATCGTCGTAGTGAACCTAGACTCAACGTCTTGTGTCACACGCTGTGTGATCTCATCAATAAATGAAGGGGCTGCTAATGATTGGGATGGACCGCTGCCTCGCGCATACACCGCACTCCAGGGCACTCCTCTCCCATAGGTCTTGCAATACCCATGTCCATCCTTCCCAACGATTTTATGATAAATCCCATCGCAATACTCAATCGTATGTTGCTCCTTAGGAACTTTCCAAAGATGCACATTATATTCCTCCTACATTTTGAAAACATAAGGACAATGTTTGGTAAAAAGCACAATATGTGTAAAAACATTTAAACCATAGACATACCACAATTGCCACCACATCAGGATCATTCAGGTTGTGTGCCCTCTTCCAGAGACTCATCTTATCTATCCGCTCTCCTCTATGTGTCATCTGTAATTTTTTTCAAGTTAGGAGCTGAAGTTTTCACAACATAATAAGTCAAAAGTGCAGCACTAGGTACAGCCACAACTGCAGCCACAAGTGTTGCACTTCTTTACTCGCCCAATATTGTACAAGTTTCCTCCACTGGGTTGGCACTATGTTACTAGGTACTCTAGAAGCAATGTCCGGATCATTCTTGAATGGAACCCAATACTTGGACTTTGTCTTGCTTTTATGATCTTTCCACGATGTCCTACAAAGTCGCATGCAAACCTCCTTGAATTCATCTGGACAGTATACCAAGTTGTCCTACAAAGCACAAATTGAAAGCCAATTTCATCCTCATAATTATAGAGCATACACAAATGCACAAGCAAGCTAATAACTAATAACTAAACACAATTAACAAGAAATCAGAAATCAAATAACTAATAACTAATAACTTGGAAAAATTCAAAAATTTAAGCATAAGCCCTAACCGTAATTAGCAAAAGGGAAAACTATATACCTTCACCTCCTGCCAAATATTCTCCTTTATATCAACATGCATCACATTCCAATTGAGATATGTAAGTGGGACTCTATGCTCGCTGTGCATGATCAACCCCAATTGTCCCTTCAACTTTTTGCCATCATCCTCCACCGGCTGAAACTTATCATCAAATTTTACTTGGATCTTAGTGCCTGTACCCCATTCCTTTATCCCTCGGGCGAATCCTTGACCTCGTCGTGTTAAGGTAGTTGATATTGTATGTGGAGATGAAACAGATGAAGAAGATGGTCCATCCATAGTGCAAGGTAGTGAAGGACTTGCCCGCACACATACAGCCTCATCTATAGTGCAAGAGGCCTTAAAGGTCTTCCTCTTTCGCTTCATCCTAAAATGAAAGAAATATGAAAAGGTTAATACACAAGAAATATGGATATCAATTTACTAATAATATAACACAAGATACCTATTAGCATCCTCGGTCATCTTTCCAACAATTCTTTTTTTGGGCGATACTGATAACTGTCAAGAGTGCAAGTTAAATTCAAAACCAATTTAATACATGAAAAATAGCATCAACTAACAAGATAAATTCATAAAAAAAACTCCTGCGAATACTGACTAGAGAGGCAACATCAACTCCAATTTCATCTAGGACATGTCAAGTAAATAAATAAATAAACCAATAGAAGAACAAGAAAAACATAAACCAATAGAAGAACAAGAAAAATTAAACAATGAACCTGGTTGGTCAGCTCTTTAGTTTCCTCTTCAGTCTGTTTAGCTGGGGACATTTGCTGTAAGCAAGCTTGTAATTTTGTTATTTGTTGCCTAAGCTTGATTAGCTGACATACTGAAATTTTAGTTGCTGCCTGCAAAATGCAGATACAAATAAAAATAAGAAGATAAATCTGAATATAAAAACAAGAAAGAGAAATACGTCCCAAAATGTACCTCATTTCCTGTTTTAGCAGTTCTCTTTATCTCCGTAACAAGCTTCTTTTCCTATATCAAAAAATAATTTATAATTAGATCAAACACTAAAAACTTGCAACATAAACATTACGTATAAACTCTTTAACATACTTTAAATTGCAAGGTGGTGATTTCCCTCTCAATTGCATTGGCCATTTCAAAGAACAGAGATCCCTATGCAAGTCCACAACGATGTCTCCTAAGCTCGTAACTATCAGAACCGACATTGTAATTGAATAAAAATAAACCACCACAGCAAGTAAACATTCATTATAAAAAGAAAGAAAATCTTTATGAAGCTCTACACTTGATAATAAAACAACACATAAACATACATAAATTTCTCACAAATTCAACAATTAAGAATTGAGACATTTTAACAATATTTAAACTTTTCATCAACAATCACAAATGAAGTTCAACACTCTTCATTAACATCAATTGTTGCTCCTTCTATTCCTTCTCTCACCCAACCAATTTCTTCATCATGAAGCATAGGGTTGTCTTCCAAATATTGAGTCATATAGGGTTCAACTTGAGGGTCATCATTAGAATTCATATCAAAAAGACCTCTTTGAGACATCTTTATCACAACTTGCCAATCTGGTTCCAAGGGATCAGGAACATACCAAACTTGCTCGGGTTGGGATGATAATATAAAAGGTTCATTGCTAACACGATCGGTTGGGTACAACAAACGATTGAAGTTGACTAATGTGAATTTGAAAGCGTCTTCCATTTTCCCCCTAGTGTTATCAACCCAATCACACTTAAGGTCATGCATTCTTCCATCAAATATCCCTTAGCTATTGAGCCCTCCGGATGAGCTCGATTACGCACATATTGTTTCAATGTAAGAAGAAACCTTTCAGGGTACATCCATCGAAACTGTATTGCTCCAGCAATCAAAGCTTCATCAGCAAGATGTATAGGCAAGTGTTCCATTATGTCAAAGAAAGATGGTCGAAAAAAAATTTCAAGATGACAAAGAGTTATTGTGATACGATCCTGAACATATTCCAAATCACTTGTATGATTCACTTTGGAGCACAATTGTCTAAAAAAAGTGCTCAACTCAATCAATGGTTCAATCACATTCTTAGGCAAGGACCTCCGTATAGCTAAAGGAATAAGTTGTTGCATCAAAATATGACTATCATGGCTCTTAAGACCCCAAATACTTCTATCTTGTAAGCGCACATGTCGCGAGATATTAGATACATAACCGTCTGGTACTCTTACTTCCTTGAGTACTTTGAGAAACATCTCTTTCTCATCATTGATCATTGTGAATTTTGCAGGAGGTACATAAACTTTATTGAACCCTCTTGACTGCAAGTGCAATGGTTTTCTAATATTCATTTCTTGTAAATCACGTCGAGCATTCACATTATCTTTGGATTTTCCTCCAACTCCTAGTATTGTCCACAATATATTATCGCAGACATTTTTTTCTATGTGCATCACATCGAGATTGTGTCTTATTAAGTTGTGCTCCCAATACGGCAATTCATAGAATATACTTTTTTTCTTCCAATTATGGCTTTTTCTTCCGTTATTTTCCCTCTCTTCTTGTCTCCTGAACATTTCCTTAAGGTCATTCCTCTTGTACTGACTAAGGACACCTTCTGATTCCAACTGATGCAACACCTCAAATCCAGATAAAATTTGAGGTTTTAGTCTCCATTCTCGACTACCATCAAATGATACTTTATCCTTTCAAAATTTATGATTAACTGGTAAGAAACGACGATGACTCATGTATGAATACTTCCTACCATGCTTCAACCAATATGATTGAGTTTTTACATTGCAGCAAGGACAAGCATATTCACCTTTCGTACTCCATCTTGATAAGTTGGCATAGGAAAGAAAGTCACTGATTGTCCATAACAAAGCTGCATGCAATTGAAACATTTCATTGGTTGATGCATCAAATGTTTGTTCACCTTCATCCCATAATTCCTTCAACTCCTCAATCAATGGTTGCAAATACACATTGATCTTATCGCCAGGTCCTTTTGGCCCATCAATCAGCACAGACAAAATCATATTTGGTTGCTTCATGCACATCCATGGTGGTAAATTATACGGAATCAACACAATTGGCCAAGTGCTATGAACTATGTTCATTGATCTAAATGGGTTGAATCCATCTGTAGCTAACCCAAGACATACATTACGACTATTACTAGCAAAACAAGTGTTTTGCCGATCAAAGTCCTTCCATGCGAGGGAGTCAGCAAGATGCCTTAACACACCATCATCAACCCGTTCTTCCGCATGCCATCTAATGAGCTTTGTCGTTTTCAATGACATAAACAATCTCTGCAACCTTGGCTTCAAAGGGAAATACCTCATCTGTTTTACTGCTACCCGTTTACCAGATTCCCTTTCAT